AGCAGGACATTGGGACCATACCCGTGAAGGATACCCCAGTCCCTTCCTCTTGCTCTCTGCTTCCTGGCAGGCATGAGGTGAGCACCTCCCATCAGCCATGCATTCCCCTCCTTGGTCTTCTGCCTGATTTAAGACTCAAAGCAATAGAGCCAGTTGATCATGGCCTGGAACTTTGGAAACAGTGAGCCAAGATAAAACTTTTCTTCTTTTACTTGATTTTTCTCAGCTGTTTTGTTACAGTGACTTCACATAACTCCCTCTTGGATTCATAGCACACACACCCCCATACACACATTCATGGATACCTCTCAGCTCACCTTCTTAACTAACACCTCACTTTAGATGTTTAGTAGATTTCAAATCCCAAACTCAAGAATATGTATCCCCTTTCCTTCCGTATGTAGCTCCTTATATCAGAACAACTTGCAGCATGAATGTGCCAATAAATAACACTGAATACTAACAAATTAGCATGCCTTCCTTCCCAGCAAGCACATGCATATCACAACAGGGTCTTTCTGGACGTACTGACTCAACAATGAAGAGTGATTTTCAGTGGTAGGAATGGCAGACGCAGTGGTTGACCACTGGGAAACTCTGCAAGGACAAGTGTGATTAATGTCTCTCAGGTGACAGAAGCTATCAGCGGTGCCAGTGAGTGTCCTGGCACAGAGTCTGTAGCTACCCACAAAGCAGAATGTGTCAGTCCCCGATGCCTGCTAAATTCTCATAGGACTCTTCTGTCCTCATCATCTATACTTGGATATAATCAAAAGAACTTACATTAGCAACATGAAATGATATGTGAAGAAAAATATTTCTGTAGAACTGTCCAAGATTTAGCTCCTGGCCATGCTTTTGCAAACAGAAGCAGAAACCAACCAACATGAGGAGACTACGCATGGCTGTATTTGGGCACCACCCTTTTGCCACACCATCACGTGAAGCATTGGCAGAGGATGAGACCTCTGTTCAACACTCCAATGTGTGCTCATGTCGAAGTTCTTCGTGCTCCTGGTGCAGGTGCATTCAGCCTTGGAACCTGGACTGTCAGCACCAAGATCCTCTGTTTCCCAGAGATATGAGTGCTGTCAAGTAGAAGACCAGTGCAAAAGCTGAGCAAAACAAGGGTCTTCTGCATTCAATGATGGGCCTATTCTTACGGAATATGAGATTTCTGTAAAGAGACCATTTATGGGAGGAAATAAATGAGGATCCTGGTGCACAACTGGACTTCCACACCCCCTTCCAACTGTGTGGCAGCTGTCCTTGGATTTAGCCTCAGTCTCTGTCTACAGTGGCAAAATGGTTATTTTATTCTTTAGCTATTTTATGTTTAAATTTCTGAAGTCATCCTTGGAAAACATCAAAAGGAGAAAATGTTCTGGAGGGCACAAGTGCATTGTTCCTTGTTTTGATTGTAAGTGTCTGAGCATCGATAGGCACAGTGAGACTCGGGGTTTGCTTGGCAGTCTCTTATTGTTGCTGGATGTTCAGACTCCCAGGGGCACTATTGCCGTGTAAGCTATTGCAGTGAGCTGCTGATAAATGAGACTTGGCTAGCTGAGCAACGCACATGGCATGAAAGAGAGATGGAGCCCCCTCTGACTCAGCCTGGGCCCAGCTGCAGGCATAATGACCAGAATGCAGAGCAGCAATGACAGCAGCCATCACCTTGCAGCCCTCTCAAACCCTGTCAGCAGTGGCTGGCTTGCGCTTGCCTCATGTTTCAATGGACCATCATCATTATTGAACTCCCAGAGTCTGGCACTTGGAGCAGCATGTCAATAGCAGCCAATTTAATGTCCTGTGTTAGAAGTTACACCAGGAGGAGAATTTCCGAATCCAACAAGAATTCATTTATATACCAGATGCATTAAAAAAGAATAGTATAAGTTGTGCTTTCCTGCAAAGATAAAGAGATATGGGTGCACGGATTTAAATTTTTTATTAGGACATATTTTAGGGTAGGAATAACTTGAAGATTCATGGAAAAGAATTTGCAATGCACTCTAAGTTTTACTATTATTTTGTTCAAAAGTCAATTTTGTTCAAAATATGGATGAAAATAAAAAGCTTATTCAAAGGACCTCTAATTTAAACTAAATTAACCGATTCATATACAAATATGCTCTGCACAACATTTGGCTCCTGACAAATGGCTGGAGTATCACTTTTTCCGTGTGGTTCATCTTGCAGGTGCTGGAGCTTTGGTTTCTGGAATTTGGAAAGTAATTTGCAGGAAGGGGAAGATTTCAAGCATAAAGGGAGTGCACAAATATGTTAACGGGAATGATGAAGTAGAAGAAAAGAAGTTTGCTCGGCTTTCTAGCAGCAGTAGTAAGCGCCATAGGAGGAGAGGAGTCACAGCAATGAGTCAAGGCCAGCAGCCCAAGGGGTTCATAAACCACAGTTTGCACTCGTAGTTCCACAGTCAAAGCCCTTGCTTATGCCAGGCATGGTGCTGCACACCTGTAATCTCAGCAGTCAGGAGACAGAGAAAATAAAGCCTCAACCTCAAGGCCAGCCTGAGCTATATAACAAGATCCTGTCTAAAAAGACGATGATAATAATAAAAAACCTTTTCTGTCCCTCCACAGCTGCTTCACCCCTCCACCCTGGCTGCTGGCCTGTGCCCTCGAGACACTCTACAACCAGAGCACCTTGGTTGTCTATCATTTGATTTCCAGGTGGACTCAGCCAATAGAGTCAGGAAGCCTCCACTAGCCCCATCCCTGCCAGGCCGTTGCTGGGAAGCCACTGTGCTCTTTGGTGCCTGGCTATGGCCTCAATTCTGGTACAGTCTGGTAACAGTATCTCTTCCTTGTCCCTGTGAGCCTTTTCTGCTGTTGCCAGCATGTACAGGTTTCTTTTAATCATATCTACACCTTTATAAATGACTCACCATCAAATTCTCCTTATTACCAGTAGGAGAGTGCCATTTGTTTCTTACCAGGACACAGATATAGATGACACCTTTGTAGGAATTAGAAAAGACACTCAAATGAGTTACATGGGTTCATTATATTATCATTTCTACTTTTGTATGTTTTGAAATGTCCAAAGAGAAAAATGATTACCAAAAAAAAAGAAAAGAAACAGGAACCCCTGTTGGTGAATGTAGACCATAGCTGCATGACTTGGTGGTCATAAAGCTGAGGTTGAGAGTCATTGACAACTCCATTTCCTCAGGTTAGAAAGATGATTTTGTGCAGTGCCCACAATGTCCCAGTGAACCCAGTAGCCCTAGAAAAGGATGGGCAGATCCCTGAAAGCTGAAAATATTTTAAGAGAACATGGGGGTCAGCCTGGGTCTTCATTAAGTATATTTGAGTTTAAGTGAGAAACTGTATCCTGGACCAAAAGTAAACCACTGTTGGGCATTGTGTTGGGGGAATATAGTGTCTTGCTTTCTCTTTTGCTCACATACCAAAGTCAACACACACTTCTGACAAAAAAAAAGTGTGGGGATTGCTCCCTACAAGCAAGTTAGCAATTAAGTACACAGCAGGTACCACACAGGTGTTCTTTAAACCACTTCAAGCCTGACTCTAGTGTCACATCAAACAGGTTGAAGCTGAGTCCCCCAACACTGCACACACATATATGCAAACACACACACACACACACACACACACACACACACACACACACATACAAGATGCCAGTTGCAGACTCCAGATTTTTAACTGTGCTTCTAACCATCTGACTATAAGTTAGGGTACCCCCACCCTCTTTGTGGGTTCAATTTATTTGTTTGAGTACTTCATAGAATTCAATTTTGCCATCTACTAGACTGAACATCTGCTTGTCATCACTTAGCTTTCCATTTCATACAATAGAGATAAATCACACCTATCCGCTAGATGGACTGATAGAATGTATCCTAAGATGTATAGGAATTGTGTGACACAATGCCTAACATTTAGTGAATGTTCTTTGGACATCAGCCACTGACCTCTAAGATGTTTAAACAGAGGAGTGATAGGAGAAAGTGGTGTTTTAGCAAGAATAACCAGAAAGCACATGCTGAGTGCACTAGAGAGAAAAGAAGTGGCCATGAATTGGTGTGAGTCACTGTAACCCCTGTACTGCAAGGAGAGATGCAGGGAAGAGGAAGGCAGCAGCTGAGAGATGCTTCCCACCACCAAGAGCAGAAGGACTGGAGAGTGGGCAGGTCGTCACCATGGTCCCAGGGTGTCTGCACATGCTCCTGAGTACTGTGTTCCCCTTGTAGAAATGCACCCAGCCAGGCATCCTTAGGCAGTTAATGTTGAAAGACAGAAAAACAGAAGAAATATTAAGCAAGAATCATTACATATTAGTCCTCTGTTTTACTGAATATTGATAAATCTACCAAATTAAAAAGCCTGGGGCGGGGATGTAGCTTGGTGGTAGAGCACTTGCCTAGCATGCACAAGACCCTGATTTAATCCCCAGCACTGCCAAAAAAATAAAAATAAAAGCCATACTAGACACCCAAACATACAAGCAATCACTGGCTACTCCTAAAACATCTCAATATTGTGTGTGTGTGTGTGTGTGTGTGTGTGTGTGTGTGTGCATCAGAAGTCTTGTGTGTGTATATCCAGAAGTTTTTGTACTAAACCTCCCTCCACTGAGGAGCTCATATGCTATTCATTAGCCCAGCTCTTACTACCAAAATTACCAGAACCAAGGGAGCTACCAGGGCCTTGAATAGAGCTGCAGAACTCTGGATGGAGGAGGCAAAGACTAGTTTAAGAAATAACTTCTCTAAGTCCTCAATTTAGCATTTATTTGTAGATAAGCCTAAGAATTCATCACTACTTTAAAAATGAGTCTGAAGCCCTTTTAGCTCCATCTGGAACATTTCTTTTTATTGTTTGGCGCATTTTCTCAGGAACTCAGTGAGGTGTTCACCAGATGTTGTTGCTTCTTGTCTGAGATGGCAGGACTGAGCCTGGTTCTAAGGCCCCTGCAATGTCACTTTGACTCATGTCTTCCTCTCTGACTTGCAGATACTTGCCTGAGATCATGAACGATGGGCTGACCAACCAGATCAACAATCCTGAGGTGGAGGTGGACATCACCCGGCCAGACACTTTCATCAGACAGCAGATAATGGCCCTCCGGGTGATGACCAACAAGCTAAAGAATGCATACAATGGCAATGACGTCAACTTCCAGGACACAAGTAAGGAAACTGTCACCAGGACCAGCAACTTCCAGGATGAAAAATGGTTATGGGAAATTACACTCAGTTTTTCTCCAAGAGCAATATACATCTTTAATAATGCCTCACTCTTTCTTAATCAGTGAAGCTTATACAGTCAGAGCCACAAAGCTTAGAATACTAACTAAAATCATAACTGCTTTTAATGAATGGTTGTGTGTTGAGTGAGTGTATGAGTGTACATGTGTATGTGTGTGTTTGTGCACATGTTGAAGTCAGAGGTCAAGCTCAAATGCTATTCCTCCTCAGGTGTCATCGTATCTACCTTGGTTTTTATTGTTACTGTTGTTGTTGTTTGGATTTATTTACTTTTATTTTATATGTATGAGTGTTTTACCTGTATGTATAATGTGTATCTGTATGTCATGAAATGCCCACAGAGGCCAGAAGAGGAAATCAGAGCCCCTGGAACTAGAGTTACATGTGGTTGTTAGCTACCATGTGGGTACTGGGAACTGAACCCAGGTCCTCTGCAAGAGCAGCACACATTCTTAACCACTGAGCCATCTCTCCAGCCCCATCTATCTTGTTTTTTGAGACAAATCTCACTGAGACCTGGAGTTTACCAATTCAGCTAAGCTGACTGACCTGTGAACCCTAGGGATCCCCCAGTCTGCAACTCCCCCAAAGGGATTACAAGTACATACCACCACACCTTGTTTTTTTTTTTATAGGTGCTGGATATTAAGTTCTCAAGCTTACTAAGCTGACTGACCTGTGAACCCTAGGGATCCCCCAGTCTGCAACTCCCCCCAAAGGGATTACAAGTACATACCACCACACCTGGTTTTTTATATAGGTGCTGGATATTAAGTTCTCAAGCTTGTGCAGCGAGCACTTTACTGACTAAGTTATCATCCCAGCCCCGATGAATAGTCTCAATAAAGTACGCCTAGCCATAGGAAAGCAAACATTGACTTTCATCTACCAACTGATCCATTTATGATCTAGTAACTGCTTCTCTTTTCTCTTCTATAGCAACATTTATATCTGCCCCAAACTTTTGCCTGTTCTCCTAAATCCACCTAAAGAATCTTCTACAAATTGCTTAGACAAGCTAGATTAGAATCCGCAGCTCATCTATCACAAATGGTATCTTTAACTAATTCCAGATGGTCCCTGACATCCGATGAAGATGCAAAAGTCACACACATTCAGCAAAAACTATACTTCCAAGTTTGAATATGGATCTTTACTTGAGTTAGCATTATGCAATATGACATTCTCTCATGATTCTGGACAAAGGAATCAAAGCCACAGACTCCAGTCAGCTCTAAGATCCCAAGGGAAAACAGTGGACATTCTGCTGGGTGCTGTGGCTAGACTAGGATTCCGGGTAGGTTAGACATATTCAGTACACCTTCACTTACAGTGTTTTCAACTTCAGGAATTTATTGGGACATGACCGTGTGGTAAGTAGAGAAGAATCTGCAGTTTTAGATTCGTCCTCTGCAAGATATTATTAAAGTGATTACAATAATAGCAAGAGGTTCCAGCTAGTGGCCTGTTGGGAGGATCCTTTGAGGTGACTTACGGAAAAGCTAAAACAGTGTCTGGAGGGTACTAAACAGTTTTGATGTATTATTCCCCTCCCTATTCAGTCATACATGTACCTGAACCATAAACATTGATATCTGAAATGTTAGAGAAAGAGCAAAACACTTGAAGTAATATTGCACATGACTGTTTTAGTAAGGATCACAAAAGCATTAGCGGTGATATGATAGACTTGTAAGTGAGTGCTGACATGAAACTAACTATATTTGGGTTTTGTCTAAGAGGCTTCAAAATGCAAGTATTCTAGGGATTTTTAGGTGTGTTGGATTTATCTTAAATGTTAACCTAAGAAAATTCCTAAGAAAAGAATGCTTGAACATCAGATGCACAGTTGCCAGAAATTCTGTAATTTGGTCACTGAAGCAAAAGATGATGCTTGTGTACTCGAATTAATGAGCTAGAGAGACAGAAGTTACAAATGTAAGACATTAAGTCATCTCAGCTCTGTCGCCATCCTACTGAGCTGTTCCCTGCAGAAAACTTTTAGTGCTTTCTTCCATTTTAAAGAACTTAAAAATTAATTTTTCTCAACACAGGATAATTACTGCCACAATGGACTTCATTGCTGTCAAATTTCTCCGAATCATCCCATTAGCTCTCCAGTCTAGCTAATACTCACCATTCCTCTGCAGAAGAGAATGTTACACCAGGCATTAGGCTTTGCTCTTCCTCAACACTTTGCTTCATGCTTCTCATTTTATCCATTCTATCTTCTCTATGGAACCAAATGCTGTTCTACCAAGAGAGTAACTATCTGGTTGAATAACTGAAGACATGAAAGAATTAGCTGATGTTGGCCTTACTGTGTTTCTCCTTTCTGTCCTAAAGAAATGTCAGTCTGAAGAACTCATGAAATGTCCAGGAGGCAGTGATTCACTCAGTTTCTTCTCGAAAGAAAGAGGAAGCAGAAAGACTGTAAGAGCCAGAAGTGGCAGATGAATACAAGAAACTGGGTTGTCTGACCGCCACAGGGCAGTGGAACCTATATCACTTATGACAGCGTGCACAAGACCCGTGCAAACCCAAGCCCATCATGGATGGGGAAGTAGAGAGAAAACCTCAGCCCTAGCTGAGGATCTAGTGACAGTTGATAGATGCCAGGAAACGGAGAGTCAGCGTTCCTTACTGGTGTGATGCCTGGGAGGTTGACCAGACTCCAAGAGTACCCACACCCAAGAACAGTTAGGAAACACAGATTAGCCTGGATAGGCCTTTAAAAAAAGGTAACTAATAAAAGAGGACATGAAGTCGAAGGGGAGAAGGATAAGTAAAGTGGGTGTGGAGAGAGGGGAGGGAGGTCTGAATATGATCAAAATACATTGCATGAGATTCTCAATCAATAAGAATATTTTTTGGAAAAGGGAATAAAAATCAGCAGCATTGAAGAGCACCCTTTGGCTCAAACCCAAGCATCAAATTTGGCTTTCTGTTTCAATATAGTGCCTGTTGTACAGCCCATTATCACATCTCATAGCCATCATCACCCTTATTGCTTAGAACCATTATTTAAGTTGCCCATTCTACCCTGTAATACCTGTATTTGTGATTCCTTTTCAGAAAGATGGAGTCCATTATTTTTCCCAGCCAGAACCTCTTGTCATTATTTGCTTCCCACAATTTTAATATTCTAAGTCGCTTTGATAATATCTTTGTAAAGGTTATATTACTTCTTGTTCATGATACCAGTGTTCTGAACAATTCCCTTTGCAATTCTGATATCTTTGAATTTAATTAATGGGCATTTTTTCTCCTTGTAAAGGCCAATAAAGATAAAACAGAGAAAATGTTAAGAACCTAGTATAATGTATTCAAATGATCTTATCTGGTATTTAGATGTCCCATTTAGGGAGGAAAAACAGTGCTGAATGTGTCTTCCTCACTCAGGGGGACAATAAAAGTCCCATGCTACCATGGTTTGATTTAAGCAGCATCAGGACCCAAGATGGCACCCATGTCTCATAAGCAGTTTGGGCCCATCAGCAGGACAGGAGTTTAAGAATGTTGGCTGGACTTACTGAGCAAGTGAGAGCAACAGCAAATGTCATTACAAGGTCACAGTTTCCTGAGTCTCTCCAGGAGCATTGTCTTACTTTTCCCCATAACAATTCCATTAAATAGATATGATTACTTTTATTTCTACAGGTAAGCAAACAGGCTCAGTAAAACTATTCACTCTTGTAATGGTAGCCTAAGCTACCTTGGCTGTGGAAAATGAATCTTTTCCATCTGTCTTCACTGATAGCAGTGGATTTGCTTCTACATTTTATCAGATTGTCTCTGCACAAACCCTGAAAGGCAAATGTTATCATTCCTATGTATTTAGATACAGAAACTGATAGAAGCTGACTCAACTGCTTATGGCATATTTATTGATACTCCAAGTATCTACTAAGCATCTGCTGCACATCAAGGACCATTAATGGCCAGGAAATTTTCAAATGAACATTATATACAAAGAATCTACCCTCAAAATGTCTATATTCTAACAGATGAGATGAACAGTAAACAAATAACAAGCAAATAAATAATACAATTCCAAGTGTTGAGAGGAACTTGCAAGTGGGTGGCATAGTAGAAGAGACTGGGTCCAAAACCCCCTGCAGATACCAAATTCTACATATATTCAAATCCTTTATGTAAAATGATATGATATTTTCATGTAATCTATATGTACCCCCATACGCTTAAAAATCATCTATAGATTATTGGTAACAACTGAGGCGATAAGTCCTGTGTAAATAATTGTTATTTTACATTGTTTAGGGAATAATAAAAAGAAAAAAATGTACATCATAGATTCAGATACAACCACAATGGAACTACATGGTACATAATACCAAAGAGAGACTGAGGGTCATGACATAACAGGAGGCTGTAGCAAGCTTTTCTCACTTATCACCCCATTCATGTGGATTTAGCCTAGTGTGTGGCAAATTCACACAGTTTTTGACTCTTTCCGGAATTATTTTTGCCCCACAGTAATTGACTATATAGATGCAGATCCTTCACATACAGAGGGGGCTGATTGTAACTGATGGATCCAGACTTAAGAGGCAAGGTTCATCAAACATGAAGGAATCAAACAGAGAGATGTGGGACCAGAACAGCCCAAGAGGCATGGTAGAGGAGAAGGCATGCCACCTTCAGAGGGCACAGTGTGTGAGCACATGGGTATTGGATCCAAGCAGGGAATAACAATTTTACTGTAAAGAGCCAGATATTGAATATATTAGGCTTCAGGGATCATATGGCCTTTGTCACAACTACTTCACTCTTCTCTTAGAACAAAGAAAAGCATTGCAGCTCATTGGGACGTGAACAGGTATAGCTACAATGATCAAACTGCAGGTCTGCATTCACATACAGACTTTCTTACAGTCACAAAGTAATATCCTTCCTTTAATTTATTCCGATCAGTTAAAAATATAGAAACTGTACTTGAGTTTGGGGCCATGCAAGAATAAGCAGCAGGCTGAACTTATCTATCCCTGGTTTAAGAGGAAGTGCTGGTTGTGAAAGGCTCTATCCTTGTTGTTAGGACAAGAACATGGCAGTGTTGGGAAAAGCCAAAGCGATAACTGTAATACCTGCTTTCCACAACTCCTCACTGTTGTCTCTCCAGTTTCCCGCTTGCATTGCTTCCTTTTGTTTTTTGTGTGTTCTATTAAGATAGTATTTTAAAAATCTTTTTTAAGGAAGGTGAGGTGCTACACACCTTTAATCCCAACGCTCCGGAAGCAGAGACCTACCAGAGGTCCAAGACAGCCTGCCCTGACAAAAACACAAAAGAAAGCATGGAATCTGCTGGGAATAGCAGCTCTGACACGCAAAAGAGCAAAGAACAGAATTTCTTAATATAAATACTGGTCAGTAGGAGAAATATCTTCATAACACCAGTGCAGTTGGAAGGCCTCCCATTACACCTGAATTCATATGTTCTATAAGTTAGTTCTGGCTACCAATGAATATTGTGCCTCAATTATTTCCATATAGGGTACTGGCTCATCTCAAACCTGCCCATGAAGAACAAACTTACTGGGACCAGTGAGCCACCCTAGGGTGGAGAGTTCACACCATATCATGCCTATGTCTCTATTACTTCCTGTTAAGTGCTCTAACTTTTCTTGTCAATCTTTCCCACCAGGTGATGAATCAAGCGGCTCAGGGAGTGGCAGTGGGTGCATGGATGACGTGTGTCCCACGGAGTTCGAATTCGTTACCACCGAGGCCCCTGCTGCCGACCCGGACAGAAGAGAAGAGGACTCTGCTGCAGCGCAGCTGGGCCACTCGCTGCTCTCCTGGTGTCTGGTCTGCGTGGTCTTGGCACTGCAGAGACTCTGCAGATAATCCTGGGCTTTGGTCAAAGGAAACTGCATTTTAGCTATTCGAGTGGCCAACCCCATTCTTTTCTTACACTCTTGGACAGTGGACCATGCCACAAGAACTCACCATTTTCTATGAGAAGAGAGCAGTGTTGCGATCTGCCTCCTTTTTGTTTTCCCAAAGAGTATCGGGTGCCAGACGGACTGCCTCCTCTTTCCTTCAGCGATCTGTGGGGACTTTGTTTATTCTAGAGAGAATTCTTACTCAAATCTTTCTTACCAGGAGATTTTCTTACCTTCATTTGCTTTTATGCTGCAAAAGTAAAGGAATCTCACGTTGTGAGGTTTTGGGGGTTTTTGTTTTTTGTTTTTTTTTTTTTTTTTTAATTCTTTTTTCGCCCATTTTAAAAAAAAAAAAAAAAAAAAGACAGGAAAAAAAAATTTTTCTTTTTAAAAAATAGGAAGAAAATAATTTTCCTTTTAAAATCAGACCAAACCCCAAGACAACTGCATTTTCAACAAAGAAGCAACAAGAGAGAGAAATGAGGGACTTCTCATACTTACAGGATTGGCAATGCCAGCCAATTCCGGCAGAAAGCTTTTCTGTCAACAAGCCTGGTTTACAAAATGCTTATAGGGAGAAAATATAACGATTTTTTTGAAAGGTAGTGAAAATATACTGTTGTCTTGGAGGTACTGTCTTGCACCCTAACCAACTTGATTTGGAGGTACTGATTTTCAATTTAGAATTGTCTTTAATACAGAGCAAATCTACAACTCAGCACCTCTCTCTTTCACCTGCCTGATTTCACATTCAGTAGACAGCATTTTTCTCAATTCCCTATGTCTGTCCATTCTATCCAGTTGGCCCCAATTTGACTTCAGTTTCTCCCGGACAACCCCATCAAGTCTTCCTTCTCCTGCATCTCAACTGAAAATCATTTCAATGATAAATCTCTGCTTTTGCCACCCATTTGATATGAATTAGACGTTTCTGCCCTGTGTTCATGGCCCTCCCCACAAATAAGAGTACTCTTATGTGACAATTGGCTCCATACATGAGGTTTCTTTTTTAACTCTTTACTTTATGTCAATTGGTTCCAACATCACAAGGGCATTCTCTTACAAAACAACTCACAACAAAAAAGTCAAGACAAAAAAAAAATTATATATAGTATTGACATGAAGATTTCTTTCACTTTTTTAGTCTTAGTATGATCATCTATTTTTATATCTATATATATATATAAATCACAGATTTTAACTTCTTAATTCCAAGCTCAGGGTTGACACTCCTTTGTAACAAAAAAAAATGTTTTGTCAACCAACTCTTCTTGTTTTGTGCTGCTCAGAGAAGGGATTCCTCAATGACCTGTGAGCACCAAGAATCAAGAAAGAGAACTTTTTACGTATTTAGCTGTCCATCTATTAAAAGTTTGCCAGGGCACACCCTTTTCACACAAGTGTGCTTTGTCTCCAGTGCTCAAGACTTTCCTGAGCTCATAGGATGAGCCCTGGGTGTGCAAGACTTTACTGGTGATGGAAAGTATATATGTAAAGAATGTTATTCATGAAAAATCATTGCTTTCATGTACAACACCTTTGGCCTAGGACTCCTGCTTTGGTACTTTGATAAATGACCTAAACTCAAGAGGCTAGTTTAGAGTTACAGCCTAACCTATCTACCAAGCCAGGTCTGATACCCTGGCAAAAAGAAGCAAAATAAACCAAACCTGGGTATTATGAATACAGGTGTCTAGCCATGTGTTTCTTGATTTGTATGATGCATCTGAGGTAGGGTGAAGTAATAGTTCAAGACACACAATATGTCAGTCACATTTTAACTAATCATTGACAGTATTGACACATAAATGGTATTTCCCAATCTCTGTTCTCATCAAAATGAAAATTAGTTATTGATTTAGTCATCACATTTAAGTAGTGTACATGGCACACTAGTATTAAGTATATTTGAGCACTTTTGTGAAACAACATATTTACAAGCATCTATTGCCACTTTATTCCTAACAAAATATGAAATGTAAGATTCTGAGATACTTTGTGGCATCTTTCATTTAAATCTCTGTGAAGTTAACACAATCTAATCAGCATCACATCCTTTTAAAAAACAGGCATCTCCCTGCCAGCCTTTGGCTTCTTATCACCAATTACAGGTTAGCACATCTTTAGGAAGAACCAATCATTTATGTTACTCATTTCCTTATACATTCAGAAGTCAGTATTGTTTTTCTTCAGTAATTAAGGTGCAATACAAATTAAATCAGCCTTGATTTTCCAGAATAACTTGTTTTATGGCTTTAAACTCCAACTTTCTTTTTAAAGTATTTCTGCATTATCTTCTATAAAGCAGACCAAGATGTCTTTTCTTACTGTGCTTTTGCCCTCAAATGGTTTTGTGCATGTGTATGAAAACACATTATATTAATGAATGTGAACCCATGTTCTGTATGCACTAATCACAGGATAATACAGAAATGCCTGCTTCGTTTGTTCCCACACCTGCATATCAATATTATTCCTATTGATGAGATAAGGTGGTGCATATGAGCTGGGCAGAGAGCTGAAATGAGGATCAGTTAATGATACCACATTAGTAGTCTTGCATGGACATGGTCAAAATATTATTCAATTGCACTTCCTGGTCTTCATCATCATCCTTTGATGTCATATGGTTTTTAGACTAATTTAACATAAGATTTTTTTCTGCACCCTAAGGCCTTCTATTTAGTTACCCCTTTTCAGTACTTTTAGAATCCTCCTCCCAAATTAATTTTCTTGTCTCAGCACAGTGATAGAGGATGCAATTATGCTCCGTTATCTTTCATGACCTGCCATCATTTGTGTTGATGTCCACTGAATCCCGCGATCACATGATGACTTGTGTTATGAGTAGAGAGAAATGGGACCCCTGAAATTGAACACTAGAAATTGGTGGGTGATGCTCATAACTGCAAACACTTAGCTTATTGAAGTGCCTCTATTTACATGTTCTTTAGTTATAATATGTATTTTTCTAACAGAAATACACGTCTGTAATTGATGTTTATTATACTTTGTGTATGTTACAACAAAAGCTAAACAAAGGCTAAAGTCTTCAGCAGAGACAAGTGAATTGCAAATTTATAAATAAGATCCCTTTGGTTCTATACTGAAGAACAATCATGAGACAGCCTTCTGTCATTGTAATGAAAACCGAGTTGGCACTTTGATTATAGCCATCACTGCTATAGAACTAGAAGTCTGACTCCCTTACAGTGATTTACCCAAGTAGGATCAGTGGCTTCTATCACCTGCTCCAAATGTAAGGGATACTGTCTATACTGAAAATGCTGTTATTCAATGGCAAGCAGTAGTAATTTAAAAAGGAACATTCTTTAAGTCAAACACATTAAAAATATTATTGGATGCAGAACCATGAGACTTAATTTGTATTCATTCCCTGCTACAGACATTAGCCTTCTTTAATTCTTTTTGCCATTACATACATGTTTTGGCTACAAACTGAACATCAGCTAAAGTCCCCAAGAAGGAACAAAACAGTAAATTCCTGGGTTATGATTCCTTTCTCACTTCTCTTTGCAAGGCTAATTATCAGGAGATTTGATTTTAGATTTGAGTGTTAGTGAATGCAAGTTTTGACTTCTCCAGAAACTTGCAGAAATTCAAAATCATTTTCTTTGACTTACAATCAGTAACAGAGATTTTAATTTTTAAAAAATTAGCTTTGCTACCAGAAAAGTAAAAGAGAACATAACTTATAAATTTGCAATGTGTTCCTCATTAGTAGAGACATTAGCCAGTGTTTAGTTTTAGGCCAACTTATAAAAATAGAGTATTGATCTGTACGAATTCTAGAGACTTGCTTATGTCATGGTTTGCTACAGCCTTGACTCAGCTTAGCATGGGAATGCTTGGGACTTTACTGAAGCGGAGTAGATACTGGAATCTTTGGCATTGCCTTGTATTGAAGACTTCCATGAGAAACACCAAAGGATGGCATCACAGTGCAGTCTCTGTGTGCATATACGAACATATATGCAGGATAAACGTGTGCGCCAATCAAACCTAAAGTTTTATGTGACTGTCAAATGACTATTATTTGGGTTAAGATTTTTCATTTCTGATTTGGATAGAAAATTGTTATTAATCTTGTATTAAAATAGTTTTTAAAAATCTACCAGTGCCCTTTCTGCATCTTCTTAATGATTATCATAGTCTAAATTTCAAAATTTTTGTTAGAAAATCTTTTTAGAAGCTTTAATGCTAAAAACCAGAAGTCCAAAGTACACACATCATTGGAAATTATAAACTTCCAGAACTGTGCACCATTCAGTTTCTTAAATGTGGATGAAATACGCTTCATCTTTTTTTGTTTCTTCTTGAAGAAAAAATATAGTGTCTTAGAACTATCATCAGTTCTATATAAATGAGATCAGAAAAAAATAAGATTATATATAAAAGAACTAACGCATTCCAAATGTAGTAAATTGCATTGAGTTTGATATTTCTGAAATGTTCCCATATTCTCAGGCATGCTAAATACTGTATAACACTCTAAAGATCCATCTAACAAGCATTCATTGAGCTTCTCCTTCCTGCTACCCTCCCCTGTGTGCTGTGTCATGTGCTTCCTCAATATAGTTAACCATAGTTTTATTACAAATATATCATTACTTTCAAGAATGATCTTTAAATGAAAGAGTATGCATAAGTAATGGTATCAAGAATGAAGCACTTAATTGTAAGGAATACTGCAATTTCATTCACATTATTACCATTGTCATTTTCATTATTAGAAATAAAATCAGGGGCCCAAGGATGGATCCCACAAATACCACACAAAGAACACACAGACAAAGTGAAAGTAACTCAGCAAGGCAGCTTTTACCAAGGCAAAAGGGTACATTGTGCCATTTGGATCCAGCAAGCATATCCATGCTGGAACTTTGATAGGTTTTTATTTTAACACAAGAGTACAATGTCTTTTGCCCTGTGCTTGACCTCACAATCTTTCACAGTTGGCTAGTTTGTTGTTTTGTTTTGTTCTGTTTGTTTTTTAATAATTTATTGAGAATTTCATATATGCATATAAGGTGTTTTGATTAAATCCATGCCCACTGCCTCCCTTCCAACTCCTCCCATATCTCCCCATCACTTTTTTCTGATTACTTCATCTCTTTCTTCTTCTTTTCTTTATTTTCTCCTTTTATGGGACTTTTGGCTACTCTAACATTCCCCCCTCTGAAGAGGTAATCCTAAAATCTTTGAAGGATTAGATAAAAGCTCCCAAATACTTTAGACATTTTTGGCCTTTGGAATGGAGTGTGTTGCTAAAAGGCCCAAGGACATTGTGACTTTTAGCCAAGAAATT